AGAGTAATCTTGGTTGTTGGTTCTTCCCTTTCATCACTTTAAGTATATCATGCCACTCCCTTCTGGCTTGTAGAGTTTCTGCTGAGAAATCAGCTGTTAACCTTATGGGAGTTCCCTTGTATGTTATTTGTCTTTTTTCCCTTGCTGCTTTCAATATTTTTCTTTGTCTTTAATTTTTGACAATTTGATTACTATGTGTCTTGGCATGTTTCTCCTTGGGTTTATCCTGTATGGGACTCACTGCGCTTCCTGGACTTGGGTGCCTATTTCCTTTCCCATGTTAGGGAGGTTTTCGACCATAATCTCTTCAAATATTCTCTCTGGTCCTTTCTCTCTCTCTTCTCCTTCTGAGGCCCCTATAATGCGAATGTTGTTGCATTTAATGTTGTCCCAGAAGTCTCTTAGGCTGTCTTCATTTCTTTTCATTCTTTTTTCTTTATTCAGTTCCACAGTAGTGAATTCCACCATTCTGTCTTGCAGGTCACTTATCCGTTCTTCTGCCTCAGTTACTCTGCTACTGATTCCTTCTAGTGTAGTTTTCATTTTGGTTATTGTATTGTTCATCTCTGTTTGCTTGTTCTTTAATTCTTCTAGGTCTTTATTAAACATTTCTTGCATCTACTCGATCTTTGCCTGCATTCTTTTTCCGAGATCCTGGATCATCTTCACTGTCATTATTCTGAATTCTTTCTCTGGAAGGTTGCCTATCTCCACTTCATTTAGTTGTTTTTTGGGGGGTTTGTCGTGTTCCTTCATGTGGTACATAGCCCTCTGCCTTTTCATCTTGTCTATCTTTCTGTGAATGTGGTTTTTGTTCCACAAGCTGCACGATTGTATTTCTTCTTGCCTCTGCTGTCTGCCTTCTGGTGGATGAGACTATCTAAGAGGCTTGTGCAAGCTTCCTGATGGGAGGGACTGGTAGTGTGTCGAGCTGACTCCCCAATGGCATTTTTTACAGAAGTAGAGCAAAAAAATTAAAAATTTATATGGAGACAGAAAAGACCCCGAATAGCCAAAGCAATATTGAGAGAAAAAACGGAGCTGGAGGAATCAGACTCCCTGACTTCAGAGTATACTACAAAGCTACAGGCATCAAGACAATATGGTACTGGCACCAAAGCAGAAATATAGATCAATGGAACAGGATAGAAAGCCCAGAGATAAACCCATGCACCTATGGTCAACTAATCTATAACAAAGGAGGCAAGGATATACAATGGAGAAAAGGCAGTCTCTTCAGTAAGTGGTGCTGGAAAACTGCACAGCTATATGTAAAAGAATGAAAGTAGAACACTCCTTAACACCATGCCCAAAAATAAAGTCAAAATGGATTAAAGACCTAAATGTAACGCCAGACACTATAAAACTCTTAGAGGAAAACCTAAGAAGAGCACTCTTTGACATAAATTACAGCAAGATCTTTTTTGACCCACCTCCTAGAGTAATGGAAGTAAAAACAAATGGAACCTAATGAAATTTAATAGCTTTTGCACAGCAAAGGAAGCTATAAACAAGATGAAAACCCAACCCTCTGAATGGGAGAGTGTATTTGCAAATGAATCAATGGACCAAGGATTAATCTCCAAAATATATAAACAGCTCCTTTACCTCAATATTAAAAAAATAAACAAGCCAATGAAAAAATGGGCAGAAGACCTAAATAGACATTTCTCCAAAGAAGGAGTAGAGATGGCCAAGAGGAACATGAAAAGATGCTCAATATCACTAATTATTAGAGAACTGCAAATCGAAACTGCAATGAGGTATGACCTCACACTGGTTAGAATGGGCATTATCAGAAAATCTACAAACAGCAAATGCTGCAGAGGGTGTGGAGAAAAGGGAACCCTCTTGCACTGTTGTTGGGAATGTAAATTGATACAGCCACTATGGAGAACAGTATGGAGGTTTTTTAAAGTAACTAAAAATAGAATTACCATATGACCCAGCAGTCCCATGACTGGGCATGTACCCAGATAAAACCATAAATCAAAATACGCATGCACCCCAATGTTCATTGCGGCACTATTTACAATAGCCGGGTCATAGAAGCAACCTAAATGCTCATCGAGAGACGAATGGATAAGGAAGATGTGGTTCATATATACAATGGGAATATTACTCAGCCATAAAAAGGAACTTAATTGGGTCATTTGTAGAGACGTGGATGGACCTAGAGATTGTCATACAGAATGAAGTAAGTCAGAAAGAGAAAAATAAATATTGTATATTAATGCATATATGTGGAACTTAGAAAAATGGTACAGATGAACCGGTTTTCAAGGCAGAAATAGAAACATAAATGTAGAGAACAAACGTTTGGACACCAAGGGGGGAAAGCAGGCACAGGGGGGGATGAATTGGGAGATTGGGATTGACATATATACACTAATATGTATAAAATAGGTAACTAATAAGAACCTTCTGTATAAAAAATAATATAAAATTCAAAAAATTAAAGTAAAATGCAAAAAATAAAATAACTGATCATTATTCATCAGGCAGTGGCAGTGGCATTATATATTGCTATTCTGAGCTTTTTGACCAATTCTTGGTTTAAGCACCCTTTGTTAGATTCTAATGTCATATACATGTGGAATTAAGAGTAGACTTAAAGTTATGAATGAATCCCCAACGTAGTTTTTATTAATTACAGATTGTACATACCATGCCATAGAGGGTGTGGAGCTCCTTTACATTCTAGATAACAGCAGTGGATTCTTTGCTAGCATACGTGTGCATTGCTGTCTTCTACAGAACTTGCTGAGTTTGAATCCCAGGTTGAAGTATATAAAGTAATTTGAACAAGTTATTTTAACTTCAGTGAACACTAGTTACTTCATATGTTAAATAAGCACAATAATATTTGATATTTAACAAGAATTACAAGTAATAAAAAATTTCTCACACAGACTCTAGCATATGGCATAATAATACTTTTAGTGTTACATACCAGTTATTGAGTACTTGCTGTACCCCAGGGCCTGTACAAATTACTCTTTGTAGATTATTTCATTTAATTTTTACAACAACCCCACTTTATAGATGAGAGAACAGTTAGGAGAGGTTAAATAGCTTCCCCAAACACACTATGATATACTCCTTCACACAGTAGGTTCTTAGTAAATCGTAGCTGTGTCATTTTGGGCCTCTGAGAAGCAGATGTTGAGATGGGAATGCAAGAGTTTTACTAGGGGACACTCCATGTGAAGAAAGCGAGATTGGGTAGGGAATGCTTTCAGACCATGATGCATATATGATACATGTGAAAGGAGAGTAAGAAGCAGGATTGGACAGAACAAGTCTCATGCCATGATTTAGATCTGACCAAGTGTCAGCCAACTCAATAAGAAAAGCTTCTGAGCAAAGATTACCAATTAGAACAGTCTTACTACAGTGGGCAGAAGTATCCAGGCCTTAGGACCCCGACATGTTCAGTCATTGACTGAGGTCTGCCTTGAAGGGTGTTGCCTCAGCTCAGAAGCTGAGATAAATCCTGAAGCCTTTAGCAGCTAAAGGCTGTCAGCTCCCTGCCCCCCTTGCAGCTGAATAGCAAGTTCTTTCTTGAAGAGAGATTCTAACTGGACCACCATAACTGCCACAGTAGCCATTATTATTCTTTCATTCTGGGTGTGAGCTTCCATTTTTGATGAGAGGTAGGGCTGTGTGTCTCCTGAAGTAATAGCTAGACTCAGAAGCTATTTGACATACATAGCTCAGAAGCTATTAAACATAGCTATATTTCATATGGAAATTATATTTCAACTCCACAGAATGTCTTTTTCTAGTATATGATTAATGGCTCAGCAATGGTTGACTTGTGTTGAAGAGAAGACATGGTAAAATATATCCAGCCCACAGAGGCTTGAAATTTTGCTTGTTTTTTATGAGACACAAATGGGGAATTATTCATTCTTTTCTTGGGTTGGGAACTAATGCTGCTTCCATTGATAAATTACCTAGAACTTCATATTTCTTTCTCTTTTCACCCAGATTCCAAATGTATCCAAGTAACTTAGAATTTTTAAACATCTTTCCAAGAATAACAGTATAACTCTCAAAATGGGCAGCGTTTCTAAAATTCTGCAACTCAGGATCTCCATGAAGTCCTAGAAAATTCCAAAGGCATGGACTCAGACATGCCCCTTGATAATTCACTGGGTAACTGCCATACTATATCATTGATGATTCTTTGTTAATAAACTTAAGCAATGTCATATTTTATCAATGGTTGTCCCCAAAACAGATAATAAATGTGAATGGTGCATAAATCCAATGACCCTCACTGTCAACCTGCCCTTCTTTCTTCTGAACGCCAAGGCAGCACTAATTAGCATTTGCCTTGCTGCACAGATGCCCTTCTAGGAAGGACATTATACGTGCTCCACATTCTGGGCTTCCAGAAGGAATGATATGATGAAATCACTATTAATGGGAAGAGGCAGAGTGCTTCCCAGATTCACATTCTAAATAGCAAAGTTATTGAAGGATTGTACCTTTGAAAGAAAGAATTAAAGCGATAGAAGAGGAGTGGTGAACAAAGAAAACTTTGGCAGTTATTTTCAGGGAGCAGTTACATGGAACACAGTAGCCATGAATCTCAGTACACAAATTCAGGTGTGCAAGAACAAAATTTACATTTTTATAAAACCCAGCTTCTGTTTGAGGTACCATTCTTGGAGGAAGACAAAAATTTAATCTCAGTCAGGTTGGACTTTGCCCTGCACTTCTGCCTCCTCCTTTTTCAAGGCTACTCTGACTTGTGTGAAAGTGACATTCCAAATATTTAACAACCCATAGGACAAGGTCACCGACTGTGGTAGGAGCCTTAAAGACGACCCCCAATTATTTTCACCTCCTAGTTATTATACCCTGTGTAGTCTCTCTCCCAATGAATAGGGATTACCTGTGTCATCAGTAGGATACTTCAGGAATGATGGAGTGTGTCTTTGAAGGCTAAGTAATAAAAGACACTATAGCTCTGCCTTGCTCTCTCTTAGGTCACTCATTCTGGGGAAGGCAGATGCCATGTCATTGAAGACATCCAAGCAGCTTCACAGAGAGCTCCACAAGGTGAGGAACTGAGGCCTCCTCCAGCTTGCCAGCTATGTGAGTGACACATCTTAGGATTGGTCCCCCTGTGCCAGTCAAGACTGCAGACCCAGCTGACCTCGTGACTACAAACTCATGATATACCATAAGCCAGAATAGCCCAGCTAAGCTGCTCCCGAATTCCTAACCCACAGAAACTCTGTGAGACGACAAATAGTTATTACTGCTTTAAGCTGCCGATTTTTGGAGTAAAGTGCCATGCACCGTGAGATAACTAATATACCAACCAGTCAGAAAGGATGCAGATACCAGGTTTAGTGCTTATGTGGCATCCTGGAGGTTCCTCTGCCATCCCAGGCATTAATCCTTTAGTTTGGGGAGGGTAGGTCATTCTGGGTAAATGCCTATCAACGAATATAAAGTACTTTGATAATTTATCAACCACTACAGCCATACCAGTTATATATGAGTCATGCTTATGTAGTCTCAAGGCATTGGGAAGCCTGCCTAGTCTCCCAGTTAGCAATACAGCCCTTGTTTCTCTCCACAAGCGCCTCCAGGTCCTGTGGCTCTCCTGACTACCTTTGGATCACATGCGAATTTGAGATTCCCTCCCTAGGCATACCTTCCAACCTTGTTTTTACTGGGTGCTCTCACCTCCTTGAGGTTCTGACTGGATATATGGCTCTGTCCTTGGGAACCACCAAATTCTGCTTTTATCAGCTCCCCTTGAGTATTCTCTTCCTCTCTACCCCTCCTGCCTCTACTCCCCAGCCCTGTGAGAACAATATTTTAGTCTCAGGGAAAGTTCCCCCACATCCCCGGTGCTTTATTCCCTAGGCGCTGTCTTATTTGTGATTTATCCAGAGGCATCTACTTGTATCCTCTTTGGTGGGTTTTGGAAACCAAACCCAGAAAGATGAGGTTCCTGCCCTCCCAGTTTTCTCCCCAGATACTCTCTTCTTCTGAGACAAAGATTCAGGATCTGGAGGAGGATAAGGAAAGTTTCACTCTCAGAAAGACAGACAGAAACAGAGAGAGACACATGGAGAAAGAGAATATCACTTCTTACCTCAAAAATTTTATCCCACTACCTTGCCTCTAGAGAAATTAATACCTGGCCACTGTTGTACTGGCTGGGACATGATTATTTCATCAAAGTTTAACAGGCTCTAATTATAGCCATTTGCTCTAATTCCATGGTGATAAAGCAGCCCCTTGGTTTGCTTTTCTAAGTACCTAGTTACCTCAAGGGAGAACTTTGCTCACAAAGCCAATATGTACTAGTTATGTTTTATATCTCTTTCCTAGAGAAATCCTTGCCTGACTTCCCCAAATCAGGATTAGGTGGCCTGCTCATATGCTCCAGTATTCCCTGCACTTCCGTTTCCCTAAAAGCACTTATTCCACTGTATTACAATCATTACTTACTTGTCTGTCTTGAGACTCTACGTTTTATTTGACACCTGTGTGTCATGTTCATGATCTGTCCCCAGAGACTCAATAAGTATTTGTGGAAAGACAGAAGCTCTATTAGAAAAGTGCTCACCAATCTGGGGCTTTATGAACCAGTAAACTTTCAAGGGCAAAGGTAAGGGGACTGATATACAGTTGCCAACTTTTTATTTTGCTAAGTGAGTACATTAGAAGTAACAACCACAATTTAGCTTCACATCATTCCATCTTAAAACTGCTATTTTAACACTGAAAGAATATTAAGGATTCACTAAAGAACAGTTCCTGAGAAGTAAATTTAACTTTTTACCAGGGACCAGTGACAACTTCTACCTGAATGACAGATACATTTGAGAACTGCTGCTAACTTCTTAAACCCCTTCCTACTCTCAGATAAGGTAAGGCAGTTCGAAATGGTAATTCACTTATTTTCAAGGTGGAACTTCTAGTTGCTTTTTTTTAAAGAAGCACTCCCTAATAGCTAAAAATTATTTCCTATCCTTATTATCTATGTTTTTAAAGAAAAAAAAAGTCATTGAGCATCTTGGCACATGATTCTCAGCTGGGACTCATTACCCTCTTCAAGATTTTTTGCTCTTTCCCAGTGAATCTCGGAAGGAGTGAACATATTAGAAAGTAAAACTACCGTAATTTTGTTTATTTTAAAAATATGTTTGCGGAAGTGTTGCTCCAGTCTGATGTAAGAAAAAAAATAAAATTATAGTTGAATTATCACATGCTGCAAAACATTTCATCCAAATTTATTTTGGATATATCTCTTGTCTCATAAATTCAGCAAAATTCATTATGGTTAAATTTTACAGTAAAGCAGAGTAAATGTATTATTTGTGTCTTATTTCACAAATCACAAAAATTCTTCATCTCATTGATAAAACTGAATATATAAAGAGCATTTTCATTGGAACTGGAGGAGAAGGTACTGTTATCTCTGCAAATAGATGTGGTATCAAAAAAAGGCAAAGACAATAAAGACAACACAGAAGCAGTGTTTCTATTTTAAATTTCGCTTATTTTGAGAACCCATGGGATAAATTACAGCAGCCTTTGGGAAAGCAGAGCCATTAAAATTAGGAGATGGAGAAGATGAAATCAATGATGATGTAATCTAGACCCTTGATGACACAGGGCAGACTCCCTTAAAGATCTCTCCTGCCTGCTGTGTGTGTTGTAATGCTTCAGGCCAGGAGAAGTTTCTGAATCTGATTTGTGCCTTCACAAATCTATGCTTTCTCTCTATTTTTATTTTACTTTGTATAGTGACTTCCTTGCTGTCCTTAGGAAGAAAAAAAAGGAGGCCTTAATAATCTGGTTTTAGTCTATTTTTTTCTTACAATAGTAATACTGAAAGCAAAAGCATGTTATTTTCTATTATAAAACAATTTTGCAGGTAAATTTCACAGCTAAAATCCAGCCTCTCAATAAAATAGTAGATCAAACAATATCCCTGTGCAGGAATTAAAATTAGTAATCTCATGAATTACAGATCTCCATACTCTAAATTCTCAGAGGAATTATGCTTTTTGTTTGTGTTTTTTGCCTCATTGGAATTCGTTGAAAATAAAAGAGTCTACGGCATTTAACTGTAGTTTGAGATATATAACATGTTAAGTCAAACTTGTGAAAACTAATCTATCTTAATGTATTGGTTGCCCCAATTATGATACCACCTAACATAAAAGGTAAGGAATAAATTCATTTAGTAGCTAGAAATGGTATTTATGATTATTATCCTTAATCTAGCCTGATTCAATATGAGTAGAAGACATAAGACGTCGGATTTGCACTATATATTTAAAACAATGGAAAATAGTCTTGCAGGTTTTCACTTAGTTCATAAATAGCTAGTAAAACCTTTAACCATTAATTCTGAACAAAAGTTTTCCCATTCTAAAATGCTAGAAAATTAGAAACAAAATAAAATTATGTTGATATTTTTTGAGAAGTGTTGATGATAACAGATATTTTTGAACTATCAAGAGCTAAATTTAGATTATCACTTATGAAAATAGTTACAATTGGCAGCATAACATCAATAAGTAGATACTTTAGTGTCAACACAGACAAGATTATCAACCTGAGCTGCATGCTAAGCACAATTAACTAAAAAACAAAAGTTCAACCAGAGTACATTGGTCTGATTTTGAGAGTTCTTTTCCAAAAAATTACAGTCACATAAGAGCAGTTATATGAAATTAACTTAGATAGGCAATTTTTTTCTAATTAGAAAAGATGAAGAATTTTTTAATTTAAGGAAGAAAAAGTATGTATACTCAATAAAATAAAAACTTTTTGCTGGAAGACTCAGGTACCTGAGTTTCTGAAATGTATCTGAGTTACTAGTGGCCAAACATATGAGGAGACATAGATTTTGTTTGTTTGTTTGTTTTTAAAATATTTATTTATTTTTGACTTCATTGGGTCTTCATTGCTGCACGCGGGCTTTCTCTAGTTGTGGTGAGCTGGGGCTACTCCTTGTTGCAGTGCACAGGCTTCTCATTGTGGTGGCTTCTCTTGTTGCGGAGCACGGGTTCTAGGCACATAGGCTCAGTAGTTGTGGCTCGCAGTCTCTAGAGCACTGGCTCAGCAGTTGTGGCACATGGGCTTAGTTGCTCCATGGCATGTGGGATCTTCCTGGATCAGGGATCGAACCGGTGTCGCCTGCATTGGCAGGCGGATTCTTAACCACTGTACCACCAGGGAAGTCCCTGTTTGTTTTTTGAGAGTAATGGATATGTTTATTATCTTGATTGCAGTGATGATTTCGCAACTGTGAATGTCAAAACTATTCAAATGGTATTTTATATACATTCAGTTTATTGTATTATAAATGAATTATACCTCAGGCTGTCTGAAAATGGAATAAGAACTACATGAAATTCTTTAGATTCTTCCTGAGGAGACATAAGTTTTTGAAGAAATTGTCACTAAAGGAATAAAAACCAAGTGAATTGTAACTATGCAAATAAAGATCTGAATAAATATATGACACAAATATAAGGACATGACATTTCTCACAGTTACTGCCCCCAAAAAAGAACTCTACTAAATACTTGTTTTTTTCAATTGCAGTCAATATACTAAAACACTGATATTCCTTGGAATTCTAAAACTTTGACTTCATTTCTGGCTTTACAAATTATTAATAATATAACTTTATGTAAGTCCCTGATATCTCATTTGATAGAAAATAATAATACCTACCTCAGAGGTTATTTAGAAAATTAAATGTGATAATTGCTGTGAAAGCATAGCACAATACCTGACACATGAATACAATAAATTTTAAGTGGTTAAAAATAATCACTCTGCTAGTGGGAAGCAGCCGCATAGCACAGGGAGATCAGCTCGGTGCTTTGTGACCACCTAGAGGGGTGGGATAGGGAGGGTGGGAGGGAGGGAGATGCAAGAGGGAAGAGATATGGAGACGTATGTATATGTATAACTGATTCACTTTGTTATAAAGCAGAAACTGACACACCATTGTAAAGCAATTTTACTCTAATAAAGATGTTAAAAAAATTTTTAAAAATAGGGCTTCCCTGGTGAAGCAGTGGTTGAGAGTCCGCCTGCCGATGCAGGGGACATGGGTTCATGGCCCGGTCCGGGAAGATCCCACATGCCGCGGAGCGGCTGGGCCCGTGAGCCGTGGCCGCTGAGCCTGTGCGTCCAGAGCCTGTGTTCCGCAAGGGGAGAGGCCACAGCAGTGAGAGGCCCGCGTACCGCAAAAAAAATAATAATAATAAAAAAATAAAGAAAGAAAAAATAAAATAAATAATCACTCTGATGAAGTCATCATTTCATAGACTAGTTCTATTTTCTTTTCCATTCATCATTCAGTTCTAGTACAGGATAATGTAGCAAACTGTGTAATATTTCCTTAATGACAGTTAAATGGAAGCCTGATATAGATTTGAAAATAATATCTTGGAGGAAGCAAAGGTAATTTTTATTTTTTACATTTTTATGCACACTTTACTAATCCATCTACTTTAAATTTGTAAAATCTGCAGGCAATTGTCTTGAATTTTTAACAAGATATCCAAGAAGCCCAAATGGTTTCTTAAATTTATAAAATAAGCAACTACTTACTCGAAACCAACTTATGAAGACGTGGTATGCAATGAGATTATAATCACACCTGTCTCACATCTTTTCCCACACATAACCTAAAACTGAACCTCTTTAACCCATAAAAACACTGCTGATAAACCCTGCTAACATACAGTATATCTTTTTCTCTTCTCTTCGGAATTTCTCCTTGATATCCTTAGGGAAAAAGCCAAGATATGAGTATCATTTAACATAATTTTAATTTTGTTTTATTTTTTTCAGCTTTAAAAGGAAATGAAAGCAATTTTCAAGAAATGAACATATGGGATATTTTTATGGGGGCTAATATAATGCTAGTTCAAATAGCTTGTGTTTTAAAAATCTAACGTATTTCTTCCAGCCCATCACTCATCATCCTAACCCTATTCCTCATTACTTACCTACATAGGATATAAAATAGATGGGGATATAAGAATTGGTTTCCCATAGTTGGAAATAAAAATGTAATTTTTAATCCTTTAATAATAAGTGAAGCACCGATAGCTTGAACAATAACTTCTGGAAATTCTGGAAAACTTTTCCTGTGACACAGGTCTATTCTCATACCACTAACAGCCATAATGAAAATCTTCAAATAACAACTTACATCACAAGGTAATCATATTGACCAAAAATACAGGTCAGTTGTGGGAATGTCTGAAAGAGGGAAAATAGGACTAAGAATATTTCCTATAACTCGCCTGATTTAGAATTCTAACATATACATGTGAAATAAAAATTATTCAAGAATGAGAAGAGAGACATACATTTCTCTTTACACATTTTTTTAAAATAAATTTATTTATTTATTTATATTTTGGCCGCGTGGGTCTTGGTTGCTGCGCGCGGGCTTTCTCTAGTTGTGGCGAGCAGGGGCTACTCTTCATTGTGGTGCACGGGCTTCTCATTGCAGTGGCTTCTCTTGTTGCGTGGCACCAGCTCTAGGCGCGTGGGCTTCAGTAGTTGTGGCTCATGGGCTCTAGAGTGCAAGCTCAGTATTTGCGGTGCATGGGCTTAGTTTCTCTGTGGAATGTGGGATCTTCCCAGACCTGCGTCTCCTGAATTGGCAGGCGTATTTTTTTTTTTTTTTTTTTTTTTGTGGGGTACACGGGGCCCTCACTGCAGTGGCCTCTCCCGTTGCGGAGCACAGGCTCCAGACGCGCAGGCTCAGCGGCCATGGCTCACGGGCCCAGCCACTCCGCGGCATGTGGGATCTTCCCGGACTGGGGCACGAACCCGTGTCCCCGGCATCGGCAGGCGGACTCTCAACCACTGTGCCACCAGGGAA